TCTGAAATATTCAACAAAATTCTTAATTTTTTACATAATTCACCTTCAGATCATATTACTGCATTTTCTGTTATTTTAAACTAATAGAATATGATACATGGTATTCAAAAGAAGAACTGAGAAAAATAATTCATAATATGATTAATAAGATGAAAACCTTGATCAACAAAATTCTGAAAAGTATTTGAAAATTGTTAATATTCCTTTGAAAGTTAGTGATTATTATTATTTTATCAGATTTATATTATTAAATGATGATTACGCAATAAGATATCCTATAGTCAAATTAAGTGAGTATCCATAGCCATATGGGCACAGGTTTAAATTAATTGTATTAATTCTTTAAACACATGGGGTAAAACTTAGTTTTGTGATTATTATTTTATCAGATTTATATTCTCAAATGATGATTGCTCAGAAAAATATCCTATAGTCAAACTAAGCTAGTATCTATAGCCATATGAGCACAGGTTTAAATCAATTGCATTAATTTCTTAGACACATGGGGGTAGAACTTAGTTCTGATTTACAAAGAAAAATATACCATTCATGTGCATTATCAGTTATATGCAGACCACATATGATTGATAATTTATATGAAATATTCTTATGGAAGCATACACATATTTTCTATTATTCAAATTTTTAATATAAATACTAATATAAAGTTTCTGCATTAGTTTGATGATGCATATAAAGGTATAAGCAGTCTTCAAAGTATTCAAGAATCAAAACAAGAATCACTTTCTAGGAATGAAATAGAAATAAACTTACGTAAATTGAAAACTAATCTTAGAAAAAGCAATGCTCTATATACTTCCTATTTTCAAAAATATTTAAAGAAGAAAGATACTTCTAAATTATCATAGAATATTCCAATTGCTAGTTAAATAATATGTGCAGATTCAGAAATGGTGAGAACTTTAAAAGTTAAAGAATATAATATTTTTATGGTAAGTAATTAACAAATATATCTTATTTAGTTGTAAAATACTTTTAGCAAACTAGTATTATATTAATTAATCTTATAGAAACCTTTGAAGTGTATGAAAGTAACTGCTCCAGCTCTCGTAAGAAACATGTATGAAATCTTTGTTTTAAATTTTGAAGATAGCATTACAAATGTTCTAATAAATAGACTTATACACAATAAAAGCTAGAAAGAATCAGATGAAAAACTAGCAAAAGTTATATCAGAGATACTCGATGTTTTGTGAGTATTTTATAATAAAACTTATAATATAATGCAATATTGCAATATTTATATTATTATTTTTTTAAATAAAATTTCATTTAATGATATTTTTTATAGAAAAGATATTTGGAAAAATCCCGCTTTTGAAATAAAATTTGTTAAGTCACAAAGTAAAGGAACATATATAGCTGACATAATAGTTCTATTAATTTGAGCATCATTAAAAGATTTTCCTATTAAAAAATCTGGTTATATTTCTACAACAGAATGTCAAAGTATGGCTAGTAAAGATCGAAGAAGAGTTGAAAAATGACCAGATATTATGTTTATTGCTAGTTTTTATAATAGGACATATGAATTAATTTATGGTGAAAGTTCTCATATTATTTGTAATAGACAAAAAAAGGAAGATAATCAGATAAAAACTTGGAGAGAGATTAATGATGGAATGTATTGAACTCACAAAGGATGCAAACTAGAAAATGATAATTTTAATATTATTGAAATCCAAGTTGCTGGAAATGAGATGCATCTAAATATCCTAATTCAAGATATAAATAAAATATATCATCTCTATAATTTACGAACTGTTGAAATTCTAATTCAACCAAATGATAAAGAAATTATATTTAAATTATATTAAAAATTTAGATAATAGAAAATATGCATGCGTTTCTATCAGAATATTTCATATAAATTATCAATCATATGTAACCTGCATACAACTGACAATGCATATGAATGGTATATTTTCTTTGTAAATCAGAACTAAGTTCTACCTCTATATGTCTAAAGAATTAATGCAATTAATTTAAACCTGTGCCTACATGATTATGGGTATTAACTTAGTTTAACTATAGGATATCTTTCTGAGCAATCATTATTTGAAAATATAAATCTGATAAAATAATAATCACAAAACTAAAGTTCTACCTCCATGTATCTAAGAAATTAATACAATTAATTTAAACCTATGCCCACATAGCTATAAGTACTCACTTAATTTGACTATAGGATATCTTACTGCACAATCATCATTTGGGAATATAAATCTGATAAAATAATAATAATCACTAACCTTCAAAGGAATATCAATAATTTTCAAATACTTTTCAGAATTTTGTTGGTCAAGGTTTTTCACCTTGTTAATCACATTATGAATTATTTCTCTCAGTTCTTCTTTTAGATACCATGTATCATATTCTATTAGTTGAAAAATAACAGAAAATGCAGTAATATGATCTGAAGGTGAATTATGTAAAAAATTAAGAATTTTGTTAAATATTTCAGAAGAAGATATAATGAAATATTAATAGTATATCACGTAAACAAAATAAATGATTATAAAGTGATAAATATACTAAATTTCGTTATACTGCTCTTTTATATGCCTTATAATTACATTTCTCAAGATATTGGCTAAACAGAAGAATATGTAATTTATGTTAACGCCAAAAGTTTCTACTTGAGAATAAAAGCATGATTTACAAAAGCATTGAATTATGCAGATTTTGAATTATGCAGATTTGGATTATGCAGATTTTGATTTTATTTTACTCTCACTTCATTACTCAAAATTTTTTAACTACAGAAACATATTAATAAACTCTATTCTACTCAAAAAATTTGTGGCTTTTATGTGAGAAATTATTTTGTCACACAAGCAGGTACATGTTTATTTATGTTGTACGTTATGTTAGTCAAATGACTTCTTAATTTTTTTAAGATATTTCTACAAAATAGGTGTTTGATACTATTTATTATAAATAGTATTTTAGCAAGCACAACGAGAAAAATTTGTCTTTTGCTAATATTTGATATAAACTGGGTTTGTTATTCAGGATAAAATGTAAAATAATAAAAAAACAAAAGAATTAATGGATTTGTTATAATTTATAAAATTGGTACTTGTTTGTTACTATTATTATAAATAGTATTCAGGCTGCACGACGAGGACGTCAGTATCTTAACAGCCTAAAAAAAAATTTGAGTCTCCAGCCGATATTTGGTACAAACTGGGCCTCGCTACTCAAAATAAATGTATAGACTTAAAGTGTTTAGAGTCCCGTTCCTCAAGACAAAAAGAAAAATAATTTAAAAAAAAAAAGCAAAAAAAATTGTAAATAAAAATAAAAAATAAATAAAAAAAAAATCTGATAAAAAGAGAATAGAATAATTAGTAAATATAAATTTGTCAAAATAATTGTTAAAAATATATAATCAAAGCTCATTATAGTGAACTTCTGGTTCCAGTCAATTTTATTTACAATAACGAATATTTACAAAAACGAAAAATTTCTTTATAGTGAATATTATATAAAATAAAAAAAAATTTCTTATAACGCGATTTTTTTTTTATTCATGATACAGGTTATGAAATTTTAATTGTAAACTCCTGTAGCGCATTAGCATAGTAATTTAAACAATCGATACATTTGAAATTGTAGTGAATAATATAAAAATCAGTGGCTTAGAACGATCAGTTACACACAATAGATACACAAGTATTATACATGTTTGCTAATGTTGAAAACATTTCTGCTAATATGACAAACAATACAAATAAAACATTTTTTAATAAATTGGTCATTAGCTTTGACATAATCACCTAAACCAAGGTTATTAGATCGTAGTTTCATTTGTTATTTATAGCGAAAATCTTTGCTAGTATTATAAGAAGGGTCAGTGAGAATAAGGTTGACTTTTTTCTGGTACTTAAAGAGAGCGAGATGAGGGCTTAAAGGTTGTCACCTTTCAAGATTAAGTTGGAAAGTTAAGAGGATTAATTGAATAATTAGGAAGAGGTTTAAGTAGGTAAGGTTTTATAATTAAAATTTTTAATTTTTGAACGCATTTGGAAATAAACTATCAATTAAGCTTTATTATATTTATTATAAAGGTATTTTCTCCTATATTATCGTTTTCATAATGCATTTAAGCCAATATAGTATTCATTGATTTAAAATGTCATCTTTACAGTCACACACAATGCAGTTACATAAAATTATCTAATGTAGATTGTTTTGCACTATCTTGGATATTCTTGTTGATTTTTGATTTTAAGCTACTAAGAACTTTCAACTCCGTATAATTAATCGAAATATTATCTGGTAGATTTTTGAAATATTGAACTACTTTTTCCAAACTACTTAAAGCTTCTTTGTTAGTAATAAGATTTAATTCCAATTCATCATCCTCTTCTATATTATTGTCTTTTTCAAGATTTGATTTTACTGCAGCTATAATTTCTTCATCTGATAATTCTTCTATTGGTATTTCATCGTCAATATAGATAAATTTTTCAGCAATAATAGGATCTTGTAAATTTAATTTATCAATCATATCTTGTAATTCCAAAGCAATTCTTTTTATATCATCATTAATAATATCATCTTGATCCCGATCAGATTCACTTTCTTCAAAATTAGGTAAAATACCTGTTTTTTTCTAACAATGTTCAATTGTACTTGATTTTATAATTTTCCATACTTCATTTACAAACGTTATAGCATCAAGAATATCAACTGATGTTATATTAGAGTTATTTTCTTGAGCTAAATCAAATTCTTCTACTCTATTCGTGACTAATAACTTTCTATATTGAGCCTAATAAAATTATAAATTTATAAGTACTGTAAATATAAAAAAATAAATACATGTAAC